GAAGAAAGGGATGGGGAGAGGAATGCTCAAATATTTTAATGGTTTTTGCTCATATTACATATATTTGGTGAAATTTGATATTTTTTTCCAAAAACAGAGGGTCGGAGGAGGTCGGCCCGGCGCCTAAGACTAGGTTCCCGACTCTAAGATTCTACTCGGGTACTTCTTCTGTTTGTGTATATACCACTGGAGGTAAGAAATATGGGACTGGACATGGTTTTTAAAAAATGGGTAAACTTCATAATAATTAAATAAACATAGATAGCTTATGTACGCAAAATCACCAAGAATTCTACAGTCCGCGAACTCATACTTCTAGAGGTCAAAGTGTACTTCAATGATAAGCGGGGTAGTTTGGTGTTTTAATGGATTTTATAATGGAACTATTTAAATAACAATATTTCACTGAGCAATATATCATATTGACGAGAACTGAAGAAGGACATGAGAAGGACTAAACTAACTTAAATTTCTCTCTACAGAACTCATGTACACCACAAGTACTCCATGACATAAGAACAGCCAATGTTCACCACCGACCTAGTTAATCTATACAATAGGAATATTTTTAAAACATTTATGTACATTTACATCTTTCAAGATGAAAAATGTCGTCTTATGCGCAATCTATTTTTATCTATGGTAAACTGTTAAAATAAAAATATTGAATAACCGAAACCATTTCGATATTCAAAACATTTTAAATAATTCTTGAAACTTTGTTCTTCTTTAAAAAGTGAATTACCCCTGTTCTGTTTTAAAAATCAAAATCTCTAATAAAATGTAGTTTCAAAATACTTTCGATTGTTAATTAGAGATTATGAACGTCAGGGTTCTGTTCAGGAAGGAGAATCATGACCAAATTTGTTTGGGGCCATTTTTAGATTTTTTTTCAAATACTTTTGTTGGGGAAAGTAAAAAGTTGTAAGTGGGGCCAAGCGTCCCGAGTTTTCAGGTATATTCGATTAAATAAAAGGTTTAATACAGCTAAGAAGAAAAGTAAATAATAAATTCAGGAAAAATGCAACTTTTTCTTTTATACTAAGCTTTTCTTGCAAAAGATTAAATTCTACAGTTTCTCATACTTTCTATAGTTCATTTTCTTTATTTTTCATATTTCTTAAAAGGACTGTACACTTAATTCCGATGATCCTCTTTCATTCATAGGTTGACATGTCCCATTAAATAACCCTTTAAAAGCTTGTATTTTTCAGCTAGGAAAAGCAAATATATCTCCGTCATCCTTTACAAATATATAAAAGTACCTTTGTCAATCAATTTAGAAATGTAAGGTCCTTTAAAGATCTGTCTACAGTCACTTTAAAGATCTGCGTACAGTCCCTTTAAAGATCTGTGTACAGTCCCTTTAAAGATCTGTCTACAGTCCCTTTAAATATCTGTCTATCGTACCTTTAAAGATCTGTCTACAGTCCCTTTAATAAATATTGTAAATTTCCTATTTCCCTTTGGTAGAGTTTTTTCCTTCAATTTCTTCAATATTGAATGGGCTAGACACTAAAATATTCATATATTAATCTTTATTTTTAGATTTCACAATTTCTATAAAATTTTAATATTGGAAACTTATACTTTAAAAAAATAACATTGGTGATCTTAAATATATATTCTGTATGATGATACATTGTATCATTGTCTTGAAAATTGTAAAAAACGTTGCAGTACAGTACAGTACAGTACAGTACAGTACAGTACATTACATTACATTACATTACAGTACAGTACAGTACAGTACAGTACAGTACAGTACAGTACAGTACAGTACAGTACAGGTAAAGTACAGTACAATAAAGTAGGGTACAGTACAGTACAGTACAGTACAGTACAGTACAGTACAGTACTGTACTGTACCCTACTTTATTGTACTGTACTTTACCATACAGTACCAGTACAGTACAGTACAGTGCAATAAAGTAGGGTACACTACAGTACAGTACAGTACAGTACAGTACAATACAGTACAGTACAGTATAGTACAGTACAGTACAGTACAGTACAGTACTGAACAGTACAGTACAGTACAGTACAGTACTGAACAGTACAGTACAGTACAGTACAGTACAGTACAGTACAAAGCAGATAATACTGTAAACTCTCTTAAAGTCAGCATTTTAAAAATGAAATGATGTTAAAGTTTAATCTTAATCTGAATCAGATCAGAAAAGTACGATACAGTGCAGTACAGCACAGTACATTACAGTACAGTACAGTACAGTACAGCACAGTAAAGCACAAAGCAGATATTACTTTCTACTCTCTCGATACTTTTCTAAAATGAAATAAAATTAATGTTTAATATTTTTAGATCTGGAAAACGTTGTGGCCCCAGGTTGCCAAAGGAGGGGCTATATGTGCCGCTACGGAATATGTCAAGATGTTGACAGCGGCAGGATCTGTCATCAATCTGGCAGCTGTCAGCCTAGAGAGGTATCATAGCACACATATGCAAAGTTTACACTATACAACACAAAGCACATTAATGTTAGTAGGAGGGAGTCATTCATTAGGCGTACCGTCCCGTTTTGCCTCATATTGTCTGAATTTGTACTGTACATCTTGCTCTGTCTAGTTGAAATTCGGCCCGGTACATGAAATGAACTGGAATGTACAGTGAGAGTTTTCCCACAAATAACGATTTAAAGGATAAATTTGATGTACCTCTCTCATTCTAGTCGTCTTTGAAATATCAATCTTTACAGATAACCTTGAACCTCATTTTGCTCACAAGAGTTTGATTTAATAAATCTTAACTTTATAGGGTTGAACCACAAAGGATGAGACTTCAAAGACGACCTGAAACTCTTAAAATATGAAGATTTTTAGGTTGAATTAAGCCTAATACCTTGAAAATAGTCGTTTAATGGTTAACTCAAAGACAGACAAATTGCAGGAAACCTTGGATATCATCTAATTTATCATCCTATGTGGGTAACCTTGGACAGGGTGTCGTCGTTAAAAATATTTAAGAAGTTTGAATCATTTTAAAAAATTAAATAAGGCCAACATAAAAGTTTTCTTGCAAAAATGCTAGGTTTTTCGAGTATTATATGTTTAATTGACATTAAAGCTTGGAGTTAATCTAATGATATGTACGGCTTAAAATGTATCGAATATTTTGCTTAAATTGATGATCAATCAATTTAATAGAAATCAAAGAAGAGGAAATTTTAATATATGTTTCTTGCTTCAGATTTCCCTCTTTTTCCCCTCTCTTCCTCTTTTCCAACCCCCCATCCACCCCTTATCCTTCTTCCCTATCCCCTTCCTTCCCCACCCCTCATTCATCCTTTATCCTCGACTCCCCTTCCTTCCCAACCACTCATCCATCCCTTATCCTCCTCCCCTTCTGATTCCATTTTGTTCAGTCTCCATGGTGTTCAGTTTCCACGTTGTTTGTTTCCATGTTGTTCCGTTTCCTGTTGTTCTATTTCCATGTTGTTCTGTTTCCATGTTGTTCAGTTCAATGTTGTTCAGTTTCCATGTTGTTCTGCTTCCTTGGTGTTCTGTTTCCATGTTGTTCCGTTTGCATGTTGTTCTGTTTCCATGTTGTTCTATTTCCATGTTGTTCTGTTTCTGTGTTGTTCAGTTTCCATGTTGTTCTGTTTTCATGTTATTCTGTTTCCATGTTGTCCAGTTCAATGTTGTTTAGTTTCCATGTTGTTCAGTTTCCATGTTGTTCTGTTTCCATGTTGTTCTGTTTCCATGTTCTTCTGTTTTCATGTTGACCCGTTTCCAAATCGCCGATTCATTTTAATCAAGACAATTTGTATGTACTCATACAGTAAAGTACAAGTTTCTTCACATGAATGTATTTTATTCTTTTTCTAAAAAGGTTTCATTTTCTACGTGGATAAAATTCACAATTTTTGTGAAAATCTATTTACTGGGTGACGGGGGATGAAAGATTGAATTTAAGATTTCTTTATTCTTTTACGTAGTGGAGAGAATTCAAATTTTTTCTTTACGAGAATGTTTCCGTTTCTCTTAATATACTTAATTAATTTTTAGTGCTTTTAATTTATTTCACGCCCAAAAAACATAGATTTATTGATTACAATCCCTCTATATAAATACAAATATAAAAATAAATCATTATTAAACATAACTTCAAGTAACCTTCCATTTATAGAATGGCATGTCCACAACGTTATCCTAAAAACCTTTTTCTGGTCATTTATGAATGATTAAGACATTTGTAGTAAATGCACTACTCAAATAAATACTTTTAGATCAGTACCAATCCAGGTACAACTCAATCTCGAACTCCCGGTTCTCCAATAATACCTTGGTCAATATCAATCCGGATACAACTCTATCTGTAATTTTAAGGATCTGTCTTACAAGATACAACTCAATCAGAAACTCAAGGTTCCTCAGTAATACCATAGTTAATATCAATCCGGATACAACTCAGTCTGTGTTCTCATGTATCTGACTTACATGATACAACTCAATCTAAAACTCATAGTTCATCAGTAATACCATTGTCAATATTAATCCAGATACGATTGAGTTCACTGTAATTCCCAATCTATATCTGTCTTACAAGAAAGTGATTCAGGGTGCTTTGTGTTTGCTAAACGAGGAACAATTACACTCACACTGCAATCTAGCGAAGCTTATTCCAACTGACGTATTCTATGGAATAAGTTAAGTTAGTAAATATAATTACAAGTTGTGCATTGTTATATACAAGCATAGTTAGGCTTATCACAATACAGGTTTTATGCAGTTATTTACAGACGTAATTAGGTTACAATGTATAACGTAATGTATCTAGGTGTGTTCAGGTTTACAAAAATGGGGTTTACTACGATATTTGTTACATATTTAGGTTTTTGTTTTTGAAAACTGATTATTTTTATTTTGTGGTTTGTATATCTACATTATTGATCAGATTAGGGATTCATGGGTACCATTGTGAATCAGTTTAAATTGAGGGTTTCTTAAGCTTACAACACAGGAATTACTTTAATCTACGTAAATAATATCTTTGACAACTGAAAACGTTCACAGGCTGTAAATATCATAATCAACAATATAGACATTTACGGGGCAAAAACAAGAAATTACTTTAAATTATCATAAAAATGTTTTTAAACAAATTTTGTGGAAAAGTAAAATGAAAACTATTAAATCTGATCTAATCTTTAATTCTTTAAAGTGAGTGACCGGCTATGGTAGGTAGTTGAACTGAGTATGAAGTGCTGTGGAAAACTTCTTTCGAATTCATTTGAGACATATTAAACTTTTTAAAGATTTGTAAATCCTGAGTTTGAGCGCAAAGTTGACGTTCAAAATTACTACTTTGGGAATGGATACGTTTTCAGAATTATTTCTTTTATTTGTTAAAAAACGACAACGAAAAATAAAGTAAAAATTATACAGTAATCTAATTAGATTGTTAGGAACGTATTTCTTAAAAGAAATTTGTCAATAAATCAATGCTAAAATCGATTATTGCGTTTTTATTATTACATTGAATTTCTTATTTTCTTTGAATTTATTCGCAGATTTCTTCAAATTCTTCAAATGTCGTCTTTTCAATAATAATTCTAGAAAATCTGCGAAAATCTTTGTGAATAATGAGAAACCAGTATTATGAGTAAATAGAAACTAATAATTGAACAAGATTACTTATTTTGATGGAAAGATTAATTTATATTTTCTCAACATGTTCCTATACATGACGTCTGTAGTTTATTGTAGAACTTTTTTACGTTTCATGTTGTCGTTATTTAATAATTTTAAAAAACTAATTCTGAAAACGTATCTACTCCCAATGTAGGAGTTTTGAACGTTGAATTTGCGCTCAAACTCAGGATTTACAGATCTTTAAAATGTTTAATATGTCTCAAATGAATCCGACAGAAGTTTTCCACAACTCTCCATACCTTTAAACTTAAAGAAAAATCCATGACACCTCCAAAACTTGATTAGATTTGGTTTGGTAGTTTCAAGCCAATATTAGGAACACACTGACTTACAGCGCAATATATTTGTTTCTTTTCAGGTAAACTTGAAAAATGCTGACATTGCCCTCTAAAAGTTTAAAAGTTTGGAAAAAGAAAGTTTTAGAGGTGTCATGGTTTTCCAGTCCTAAACTATTTAAAGAAATAAAATAGACAAATAAATTAAATATAAACATTTGAATATTATATTGTCTGCTAAAGTAGTTTGTTGGCAAAATTTTGGTTCATTTGCACACATTTTTTTCATGATAACATTTGCACACATTTTCTTTCAGAATAACATTTGCACACATTTTCTTTCAGGATAACATTTGCACACATTTTTTTTCATGATAACATTTGCACACATTTTCTTTCAGGATAACATTTGCACACATTTTCTTTCNATTTGCACATATTTTCTTTCAGGGTAACATTTGCACACTTTTTCTTTCAGGACAACATTTGCACACATTTTCTTTCAGGATAATATTTGCATACATTTTCTTTTAGGATAACATTTACACATATTTTCTTTCAGGATAACATTTGCATACATTTTCTTTCAGGATAACATTTACAAATATTTTCTTTTAGGATAACATTTGCACACATTTTCTTTCAGGATAAAATATTTGCATACATTTTCTTTCAGGATAACATTTGCACATATTTTCTTTCAGGGTAACATTTGCACACTTTTTCTTTCAGGATAACATTTGTACACATTTTCTTTCAGGATAATATTTGCATACATTTTCTTTTAGGATAACATTTACACATATTTTCTTTCAGGATAACATTTGCATACATTTTCTTTCATTATAACATTTGCATACATTTTCTTTCAGGATAACATTTGCACACATTTTCTTTCAGAATAACATTTGCACACATTTTCTTTAAAGGTAACATTGGCACACTTTATCTTTCAGGATAACATTTGCACACATTTTCTTTCAGGATAACATTTGCATACATTTCTTTTAGGATGACATTTACACATATTTTCTTTCAGGATAACATTTGCACACATTTTTTTAAGGATATTATTTGCATACATTTTCTTTTAGGATAACATTTACACATATTTTCTTTCAGGGTAACATTTGCACACATTTTCTTTCAGGATAATATTTGCATACATTTTCTTTCATTATAACATTTGCATACATTTTCTTTCATGGTAACATTTGCACACATTTTTTTAAGGATATTATTTGCATACATTTTCTTTCAGGATAACATTTACACATATTTTCTTTCAGGATAACATTTGCACACATTTTCTTTCATGATAATATTTGCATACATTTTCTTTCATTATAACATTTGCACACATTTTCTTTTAGGATAACAATTGCATACATTTTCTTTTATTATAACATTTGCAAAACACATTTTCTTTCATGTTAACATTTGCATACATTTTCTTTCATTATAACATTTGCACACATTTTCTTTTAGGATAACATTAGCATTCATTTTCTTTCATTATAACATTTGCGCACATTTTCTTT